AATATATATATATATATATATTTGTTTAATCTTGCACCAAGTCTGCGCACAGTACAAAATGGCTGCTGTATATGACTTTGTCGTTATTGGCGGCGGTACCGCTGGCCTAGTGGTTGCTTCTCGACTCAGCGAGGACCCCAGCATCTCCGTCCTGGTTCTCGAAGCAGGCGCCGACTTGACAGCAGATCCCCGCGTGAACATTCCCATCTTTTATGCCGCACTGCTTGGATCCGACGCCGATTGGAAATTCCGCTCTTCCCCTCAGGTAAGGACCGTCTCTGTCTCGATAAAGGGTGCGCGCTTACTCATTGCTTTTACAGCCGGGCCTCAATGGCAGAGTACTTGGTCTCAACCAGGGCAAGGCACTCGGAGGGTCCAGTTCATTAAATGCACACGTCTTTGTTCCTCCTTTCAAGGGTGTTGTTGACTCATGGGAGGCACTTGGTAACCCCGGATGGAATTGGTCCATGTTAAAGGACTATTTCTCCAAGGCCTACAGCAGTCCGACTGTAGCACAGGATGCCAAAGAAGGTCTGGCAATTGAGGACTGGCCTGAATTGAACGAAGCGAAAGGTCCGATCCAAACATCCTTTGGCAACCAGACGCACCCTATTCGCAAGGCATGGGCCGAACTGTTCCGCAGCAGAGGGCAATACAACGCCGGGGATCCGTTCATCCACAGCTCTGTAGGCTCATTCAGTTGCCTTGCTAGTATTGACTCGGAGGGCAGGAGAAGCAACTCCGTCTCGGCCTACTATAAGCCTGTTGAGCTTCGACAAAATCTTCACCTTCTTACGAACTCATTTGTCGAGAGAGTCCTGTTTGACAAAAGCAAGCCACCCAGATCTGTTGGAGTCCAATACAGTCTCGATGGTGTCTTAAAGACTGTTCAGGTAAGGAGTGAAGTTATACTTGCCGCTGGCGCTTTTCAATCCCCCAAAATCCTCCAACTTTCTGGAGTTGGTGGGGCAGAACTTCTTGAGAAGCATGGCATCGATATAGTCGTGAGCCTTCCTGGAGTCGGGCAGAATCTTCAGGGTATGTGAACAGCATCCAATCTAACACATTCAAAACCTTTGTGTTGTTGATCTTGATGTGGCTCTGAAATAATATGAAACCATCTTCCTCTTTTTGACACATACTCGCTTTGGGACGAGTTTAAACTAACATCTACTACTTCTAGATCATATGATATCGTATACCGCATTTCAAGCAAAGGCTGAACTGGAGACTAAGGACTCTCTGGTCAGACAAGAGCCTGAAGCCCTTGGTCAGGCAATGCAGGAATACACTGCCACGCAGTCTGGGCCCCTGGCTTCACTCGGGGTTCACACTTACGCCTATTTGCCTCTTCCTTCACCGGACAGAAGTGCTCTCCAGGCATTATTTACAAACCACGCCTCCGAACAATCACAAGAGCACAGGGCGACACGAGCCTATTACGACATCGCGAAGACCACGGTTCTTGATTCCAAGCAACCATCAGCTGCGTACCTGTCCGCCTTAGGGCAGACGAATTATGCCAAAGACCTTAATGATGAGACTATCCCAGCTGCTTCGCCGGGAAAGTTCGTCACGCTTGGAGTAATGCTCTCTCAACCGCTTTCCCGCGGAAGCGTTCATATGTGAGTGAATCTTTTTGTTTGCTTCTTGTCTGCTAGAGAATGTGAGAGATTCTTTACTCCTGATTCTTCACATGCTGCCCCCCCCCCCCCCCCCCCCAACAAACCGTCTATTCACCAAATCTGACAAAAAGAACTCAAGTGCCTCCAATAATCCTGAAACCCCTCCAGTCATTGATCCTGGTTACCTATCAAATCCTCTCGATCTGGAAGTCATAGCACGGCACTTGCTCGGTATCAAGAACTTAGCAGAGTCACCTCAGCTAGGAGAACTGCTCGAACAGCCACTGAAGTTCCGTGACCCAGCTGCAGACTTCCAGGGAGACCTAGATGCTGCAAAGAAGTATGCTCGGGAGAATTTAGTCTCCATGTGGCACTTTGCGGGGACCTGTTCCATGCTGCCACGCGAGAGAGACGGAGTGGTGGATTCCAATTTGAGGGTCTATGATATCGAAGGACTAAGGGTTGTAGACGCGAGTGCTATCCCGCTGGTAAGCACGGCGAATCTGCAAGCCACTGTGTACGCATTCGCGGAAAGGGCAGCGGACCTTATCAAGCAGGACTGGCAGAGCAAGTAAATCAGGTGTTAGAGAAATGGAGTTATTGAATGTTGTCTGTTTGGGTGATTTGGGATAGTGGGTGTTTACTTTTATATAGGTGTTGGGATGTAGGAGTTTGTGGATTTGGTTTCTTCTTCTAACTGTACCTCGTACTCCGTACTCCATGGTTTTAGTAGGATGGGATGTACATTTTAGAAACTTGACAATCAATGATGGTTGACAAAACTTCAGTTAGATGTGATAGAACCTAGTCACTAGGCGAAGTAGAGATATTCAATGTGTATTAAACACTGAATTCTTACACTGCACTAGCCTGTGCTGTACAAATCTCACACATTTCCAACATTTAACTGGTGAAACCCAGATACAAGTCGAATCTATCTTCAGAATGCCTTCTCAAACAAACTGGTCCCAAGCAGAAAACACTCGACTCCTGCATTAAAGCGATAGAGGCAAAGATCAAAAGAGAAGGGAAAAAAAAATTCACAATTGAGAAATGAAATTTGGGACACTGTTCCATCCCGTTCCAGCCATCCAATGACCTTTCCAAACGCCCATCATGGTATTATAGCTTCTCCCGCTGCCCGTGAATTCTAAGTCATGATCATATAAACGCCAATAAGGGAAGAGTCACAAACGTGGGCATCTATCCGGTTCTGGACTTCTTTGCCCGGTCGCTGCTGTACTCCGGTCTCGTCTTCCCACTTTCGATCGGGTGCAGATGTATGCCCATGTCGGGCGGGAAGTCGGGATGTAACATGCTGAAGCGGTGTGGGTTCTGCGGAATCCCGTCTGTCTCGGCTGGGACCGGTTCTACGAGGAGCTGAATCAAGCCCTTATCCACATAGCCTACTGGCTTTGCGTGAAGACGGTCCATTCTGGCCCAGTCATCATCCACTTCCTCGTTCATCAAGGGGGGCAGCGGAGGTGCGCCATTATTGCTGGGTCGCGCATGGTAATTAGCGAGTATATTGTAAGGAAGATTGGGACGGACGGCCGGTTTATCCGACAGCTCCGCGAGCGCATTAAGGGCATGGTTGCCATGTCCACGGGTAGAGCGGGTAGCATGGAAATTCTGGCTAGCGGTCCGCGCCATGTCGGTTGCAGGAGTACCATTGTCTTCCGTGCCATCAGCCCCAGACGCATCTTCCGCGTCGGTGTTGTTACCGTTCGTTGCCGCACCAGACGGCTGATCGGCACGCTTAGAGGTAGAAAAGAAGTGGACCGTGGCAACATGCGCTTGATTAGCATGGGCACTGAGCTCCTTCTCTGTGAACAGGGACTGTATAGAGTAAGACGGGGCATGCTGCTGCTGCGCCACCTGGGCCTTCGCACGCTCGGCCGGGTTAGTGTAGCCACCCTCCCGTACCGGAGACCCAACGTCCTCCTCAGGAGCCTTCCGCTTTCTCTTATTAAAATCCGCCAGAATACCATTGCCCAGCTCGTCCACCAGATCGACACGGTGGCGGGTGTGTCGGGTTTTGCGGTTCCCGTGGATTCCGCCAGGACTAGAGGGATTGGTGATGCTGAACTGATTGGGATGCAGAAGCAGAGCATTAGTATCTGCAATATCCAGCTGTTCCTTCTCGCGCATCAGGCGAGTCCTCTTGCCCGTTATTGTCTGTACAAGGCGCTCTCGAAGGGTAGCGGACAGATGGTTGTATTCTTCTTCGGCAAAATGGACGCGAAAAGCGTATTCCTTTTGAAACCGTTCTAGGTTACTATTATGACGGTGCTGATACAAAGCCCATTAGCACATGTAACCCTTAAAAAGGCTGGAGAGGCCCCGGTGCCTAACAACACGACCGTGCTAAAAAAAAAAAACAGCGAAATAGCCAAAACCAAGGAAACACTTACCACCAGCATAGCCAAATCTGCATCTTTTTCGGTTTTAACCTGATTAACCTCCTGCACAAAGCGCGAATACCACATGCCAGCCAGGCTCGACATCTCCTTTGCGAATTTTCCCCCGCCGACAGTAGTCTCTATCAAATGCGCGATCTCTTCCGACGAGTCCGGCAGAGGACCAGGCGAGTATGGATCGGCATTGTTGATGAGGGTCATATCACATTGTAAGGCATGGAGCTGCTGACGAAACTGGGTATCTCGATTTTGGCTGAAGGATGCCGTGAGGTCTTGTAAGCGCTCTTGCAGCGCGCTGCGCCGCTTGTCCCGCTTAGAAAGAGGTACGCTGGTCGGTGGGCTTGCTGATCGGCCCCTGGAGTGTAAGCTATTTACCAAACTTGGGCCAGGGCCACCGTGCACAGGCGATGGCGGTGCAGGAGAGTAAGCCATGGCTAGTTCAGGCCTATACTAGCTGGCCGCAAGGTGAGGAGGTTGTGAGAGGGAAGCAGAAAGGTGTGTGAAATGATTGCTTAGTGTTGTAATCAGTGCAACTTGGAAAGGAAATCACTGCAGCAAAAACCAACAAACAAAAGACTTTGAGGAAGAGCACACATAAGTAATTCGAGGACAGAAAAAAGAGGAGAGACTGTGGTGAGGAGACGAACAAACCGGTGCTGAGCAGAAAGCGGGAATCCAGCCGCTGGCCCGATGCAGTATAGTGCCGGCAACATTTTACACCGCTCGGAGATGATAGTAAGATTCTGTACTCCGTAAGTTACAGACTTATAGACAAGACAAAGAAGTTCTCTCTGGTACCGATCATGATGCTATCTTATGTCTAAGAATACTGGTACTTAGAGTTACATCTTACCGAGGCTTGTACTTACTTTGTGTGGGTGAAACACGCCACACTGAAATGAAATGAAGCCTCGCAGACTGCCTGTCTTGGTCACAGGGTGTATGACGTTGTATCTATCATACACTAAAGGCGAATCAGAGGTTGTAGAAATGCCACTGGTGATAAGCATCTAGCCAATGGTGATAGCCGACCATGAATGCCCTGGAGGAAAAGAGGGTTTGTATACCATATAGACCATGTAGTATGTATTCATTTGGGTTTGATCATTTATATCCATAATCTAAACATGTTGGTCGTCTCGCTTCACAAAGCATAAAACAAACACCGTAAAACAAACATGCTGGGTATTTGTACTCCGTATCCGATATGAAAATGCAGTTTAATGTCCCCTGGACTTCCCACCAAGGAAGTCATGTCCAGAACCGACACCATAGACGCCACCATGTTCACTGGTTCCTCCCGTTTTATTCGCCATGATGTATCCAAAGAAAAATAAATAAGAAATAGGTTAAAAATTTGACGAGCAGGAGGTTTCAAAAGAGCAAAAAATTTAAATCCGTAAAGGAGCCACCTGCAGTTGGGCCAACGATAGCCACGGATCTTAGTGGGACCGACGAATCACGAAAACTCCAAGTTCGATCCCATCGCGAGGTTCAGTCTCCTCACCATAAGGTCGTTTTCTAATACCATCGAGAATCTCGCCCAGGAGCATGGCGGACGTCACCTCTTTGTCCTCCAGAAGATAGTTGGTGGACATATTAGAGGCGGCTTTTGCTGCGGGTAAGCGACGGCCATTCTGCCAGTAAAGACTGAGCACATCTTTCATCCGAGTCCTTTCTTGGTGGATGAACCACTCAGTCCATACATGCCGATCGAGGTGGGCACTGCCCTTGCGTGCATCGGCAATGGTGAACTGCGATGAAGACGAACTCAAATCAGAGCAGAGTTGCGCAAGTTTGTTGCGCATCGTGTCAAAGTCTTCCATGTGGCTGACAGTGGAAAGTTTTCCCAAATAGCGGCCTACGTCGGCGGATAGTTCGTTTACTACCACGAGCTGCCGAAGTAAGGGATCAAGGATAGGTCCCAGATACTGGGATTTGAAGGTCGAACCACCTCTTTTTGTCGGGTATATAAACAGCAAGGACCCTCCGTCACGCGAGAGCTCAGACATCCGATCGACCAAGAACGATGGGCGGCCAGGATTAAAAAGGTCCTTATATTCTTGAGGTGATGATGGTGGAAGGTATCGTTCTAGGACTGAGAGGTGTACGCTAAACGGAGGAACGACCGGCATAGGAAAGCGCAATGGTTTCCCCTGGATCACACCCCGAAAATCATGGTAAGCGGACACCACGGCCGCACTGGAAAACACACTGGAGTTGAAATAATCATCCGCAGAGAATAAGGAGCGCGGGGTGTTCGGTGGGGAGTACGGAAGGTTTGAGAGGCTGAATTGTTCGGGGACTGCATGCGTAATGTTGATATAAGATGGCGATTGTCCAGATTGTATGCGTCGTTGTACGGCCTGAATGAGAGAGCAGAACACGTCATCGTTCGTATGAACGGCGGCATTCTTATCTGCTGTGCATGGGTAAGGAAGCATTTGAGAAACAATTTTGACGGCTTCACCGGTATTACTCGGGAACGGTAGGGAAGACACTGCCAGGGAAGATATGTAAGTCTATCGATCACCCATGGTTCTAAGATCATGACCTACCAGTCATTTCGATGCCACTCTCAAGCCAAGAATTAAGATCACAGTCCATCTCACCAGATGAGCCTGGACTTCCGGAGCTCGAAGGAGAAACGTTCGAGAGTTGATCGGATGGACTACTCAGGCCGTCTGAAGTAGCACCTCTGGCAGCGCTGTCCACATTAGGACCTTCGTCCATGGGCATTGGCCCAGGTTCTCTGCTCAAAGGCGATTCGAAAAGCAGCATTCCGGACCGAGGATTCCACGCTACGTACTCGTCGTCCTCCGGAGGTGTCGGGGGGAGAGCAGTGGGGTAGTCGCCTTTGGTCTCGAAGTCCCACACCGTAGAAGTGGACTGGGACGCACGAGTCGCCAGCGAGCTCGACGCCGCAGAAGTTGTATGAAGACGGAGACGAGAATCAGCTGAATGGGTGCGTGATTCGATTCGACTGGATGACTTCGTCTTCGAAAGGCCGAGATGCTCAAAGGATGGGATATGTAAAGAGGCGTTGTTTCTCGATAGAAAGCGAGACACGGATGATGGCTTCGTTAGGAGTGATCCCTGAGATGCTCGCCGTTTAAGCCGACCGGAGCCTGTGTCCGAGGAAAATGGGATTTGCTGTTGTTGAGGAGATACTGGGCTTAGTTGAGATGAATTCTGTCTCTCTGGAGAGGTCACGGCTCCCTGTTGCGGTGAGCCGGGTTCCCCAGGCATATATGAGGAATTGGTGGAAAAGCTAGAGTCTGAGTATGGCGAACACATGACAAAGTTATCTCGCACCACAGATGAAGGCCGATACGGTCCATGGCACTGTGGCTGATGCATCCAGTCCGTGTTGGATCGTTGGCGAGGCCGAGTCGATGTGATCGAAGAATCAAGTCTGTGGACGGATTCCCCAACGAAGACGGCTACGCTAGCATGGATGGCCTTCCGGGATTGGTGGAATACAATCAAAAAGCCGTTCTGTCCGTGGTGTATTCCGTAAAGAGCGTGGGTCTCGCGCGGGGTGTGACTTTAAGAGGGTTTGGCGAGAGATCGGTGGAGGAGAGAGATACTGGGTTGAAAGAAGACGGGGCGGGAGAGTGAAGAATGGAAGGCGGACGAGGCCCCGGTAAAAAGAAGGAAGCGAGGATGTGGAGATGAATCGTGATGGCACGGTGAGAGATTGCAGGGGAGGAAGAGACACAGTAAAAAGGGAAGAAAACGAGAAAAAGGAAGCAAAAGGAAGGATTAGAGAAAGAAGGAAGAGAAAGGAAAGAAAGCGGAGAGAAAGAGAAGAAGAGTCGTCAGGCCAGCGGCTCGCAAGGAGAATAATGACGCTTGGGAAATGACCCAGAGGCCCAGACACAAGAGACTGACAGCCCGAACAAGAACAAGAGACTGTCCCTCGGGCTGCGACTTTCCACAGGCGTTCTAGACCGGGCGGGCTTGGCCTGATTGGGGAATCCATGACACGAGGTCCGGTCGGAGGCATCGAATGCTTGTGCAGAAGATGCATTAACGTGTAATTATGTTTACCAGTAATTTTGGCCCTGTTCGAATTTCCCCTATCGAATTTATTTAAGCATAATGTCCCTGCTCCTCTCCTGTCCATACCTTTTTTTGTTTCGGTTTCTGATTACCTTTTTCTGATATTGGCCATGCTTACCTTTCCTAGCCTATTGTAGAAGGGTGTTAATTATGGAGCACCACCACTGCAAGTCGCCTAACCCCTAGGAGGCCGCCGACCTGTCTAGGCCCTCATAGTGCTGATCGGGGCTTAGCGTCCACCAAAGGCTGACGATACCGTAACGGGAGATACACGGACCTTTCAAAAATCCCATCAGATTTTTTTGCCTCCCAAAGCCTGAGACCCACTTTCTGGCCTCACATTGGGGATGGACCCTTGGGAATGGAGAATGTTCGAGTACTGGTCAAGCGGTGGTTCAGGAAATTGGATGGAGTCTGGGATTGATGACTCTTGCTTGGATGGATGACTTCATGATCTGAGTTTGGTGGCAGAAGGAGGATGACTTGGTGATCGTCCGGATCTGGAGTGCTCCCTTCTCTGTCTGGACCCTTTTGACGCTGTGACTCCGACCGGATACCTAAAAACTGTCTTGTATGCATCGGGTACAGAGTAAGTAACCCTCTTGTGTTTTTTCCACCGCTCTGGATCTTGCTGTAATACGGAGCATCACTTCTAGATTCTCGACCACTGCTACCATTTCTAGTCACGTAGAGACTGGTAGGAAGGCAATTGTACCACCCAAGCTCGGCGTACCAGTGGTTTCGTTCAATCTGATCAATCCAAGCGGAAAATAGTCCCTGATCCAATCGCCCTCTCCCAGTCTGATGGAATGGAAAAACTCAGTCAATAGTGTAAGGAATAGTTCAGTTTGATGAGACTTTCGGCACAACCGACTATCAGACCTCTGGGAATGTGCTGGAAAAAAAAGCATAAATGCACGTCTCCCGGGCATTCCTGGAGGTCCTATGGCTTAAGTAAGATAGTAATAACAGGTGAGTCTTATTTCCTGTCTTGTAAACACTCATTGGTTGGCTCGAGTTACATATCGAACTGCCACAACATCCATCCTTCCACCTCAAGTCTAGAATCTCCCAATTCTCAAATCCAGCAAATAGAAAAAAAGGTTAAGTCGGTACAAGAACGATTGTAAGCCGAACTGACCCATACGCCTCAGAAAAGCGGGAAAAGTAAAGAAAAAGCAACCACTGGTCTCTATTGAAATAAACTACTATCGTCTTCGGGTTGTTTCTTTTTTTTATTATTATTATTATTATTATTATTATTTCTTTTCTTTTTTCCTCACAAGTTGTCCCAGAACAATTGAGAATTACTACTACTAAGTATTGACGTCGACATTCTTCCCCGCCCTGTCTCTCACGGGCTCTGATTGGGCCCATCCCCCAATGGCTTGCATCGCCCGATCAAGTCTCCACTGCCGCTTGCAGGTGGATTGACGCCTAGACTCATGTTCCGTGCTGCCGAAGAGATCCGCCTTGATCTGGCCTTTTGTTCACTTTGTCCCCATCGTTGACCGCCTATGGTTATTGGGCTGCCTTGTCATCGACCATGGTTACTCTGCTTACATACGTACAGTACATGCACAGGAGAAGCGAGAAGCCAAGAAGACATAAGTACAGTACGGAGTACAGTACACAACATCCATGGTAGCCCCAGCCCTAGTCAGGGCTCCTGTTATGTACACCGTATGCGCAAATGGATCGGATCTATCTTGTACCCCTCCCTGTTAAGGAAATATTGAACGTTGCAGATCCGGAAGACACGGAGGTCTGGTCACACTCCTCATTCATTTTTCTTTGTTCGGCCTCTTGAGCCTCGAATTCCCAAGACTACGGTCCTCTGTTGGGTGTCCGCTTCTTTGTTGATTGTTGTCCTACAGTCGAGCAAAGTAGTCAAGTACAGATCGTTTCTGGATATCCCAACCGTTGGCTTCTTTGGGCAACATGCATGCAGTTTTAACTTCTGTGGGCTTGTCAGCCCGGTTATGCTCCGTATCTCTTATGGAATATACCGGGAACACCTGATATCATTATCGCAATTTTCTTTTCCTTCGAATGGTCGTTTTCCTAATGCTCTCTTTGAATGAGGTACATACATAAAATCAGTACCCGGATATGTGCCTAATAGTTTAGAACATTTAAACCACGCAAGCCGAATACAAAGAGAAGAAAGGCAAAACGCCCGGAAAGACAAAAGAAGTATCCTTGTAGAAGGAAAAACAAAAACAAAAACCCACCATTGATTCCATCCATAAGGAGGAGTAGTACGGAGTACTATGTTAGTAGTCGCAGGAAATTCAAACCCAAAAAAGAAAAAGAAATAACATGAATTACGACTACCATTCACAAGACACAGTACCATCCAACCAACTACCATCTTCTATCCCCAATAAAAAATAAATAAAGAAAAAAAAAAAAAGAAAAAAGAGGGGAGAAAAACCATGCCATTCTTCCCCATCCATGGAACCTCAAATAAACGCCCTCCTTATATATCCAAACAACCACCCCAGTGAAGAAAGACTCCTATCTTCAAACAAGCCCAACCAAGGAAACCTACGCGATGTCAGACTTGAACCTAACAAAGTAATCAGAT